CCAGCATTTGTTATTACTTGATTTCTTGATAATAGCCATTCTTTCTGGGGTGAGATGAAATCTCAGCATTGTTTTAATTTGCATTTCTGAAATGACCAGTGCTGTTGAACACTTTTCACATATTTATTTGCTGTTTGTATTTCTCCATCTGAGAAGTGTATATTGGTCTCAGATGCCCAGTTTTTAATTGGGTCTTTAAGTCTGGGAAGACAGATTTTTTTGAGTCCTTTATGTTCTCAATAGTAATCCTTTGTCTGAGGAGCAGCTGACAAATGTTTTCTCCCATGTTGTTTCTTTTCACTCTGTTGGTGGTTTCTCTCTTGTGCAAAAGCTTTTCAATAAGATGAGGTCCCAGCTGTTGATTCTCTGTGATTAGTTCCTGTGCAATCGGGGTTTTGTTCATAAAGTCTTTGCCTACACCAGTGTCTTCAAGAGTTTTACCTACTCTGTCTTCCAGCAGATTTAATTTTTCTGTTTTATTATTAAGATCTTTGATCCATTCCAAATTTAGCTTAGTGCTTGGTGAAAGACATGGGTCCAGTTTTAATCTTCAGCATGTGTAGAGCTAGCTTTTCTAGCACCATTTACTAAAGAAGCTGTCTTTCTTCTAGTGAATGTGTTTGGCACCTTTGTCAAAAATAAGGTGGCTTAGTGTGTCTGGAGTTGTTTCTGCAATGTCTAATTTTCTCCATTGATCTTTGGGTCTGTTTTTTTCCTCCAGTACTGTACTGTTTTTATCACAGGAGCTTTATAGCATAATTTCAAGTCAGGGATTGTGATGCCCCCTGCCTTGTCTTTGTTGCCCAGTATCCCCTTTGCTATTCTAGATCTCTTCTGATTCCAGATGAATTTTAGGATTGTTTTCTCTAATTCTGTGAGATGTGCTATTGGAATTTGGATTAGGATTGCATTGAATCTGTGTAACACTTTTGGAAGTATGGCCATTTTTACTATATTGGTTCTTCCTACCCAAGAGCACAGCATATCTCTCCATTTTCTAATATCCTCTTTGGTCTCCTTTTCAGAGTACTGAAATGTAGAGATCTTTTATAGCCTTCATTAGATTGATTCCTAGGTATTTCATTTTTTGGATGTTGTTTTGAAAGGTGTTTCCCTGATTTCTCTCTCAGTGAGTTTGTAATTCATGTACAGGAAAAGCCTAACTTTTAATCATTTGCTTTCTTCTTTTTGGCACTGGGGATTTTGTGATACTAAGCATTCACTGGATTACAGAGCTCCTTTCCAGACCTAGGCGATTTTTCCTGAGGTGTACAGGGTCGGGGAGAATGATTTTCACATGGCAAGGCAGAATAGCTGGGATTCAGTGCCTCCCCCAGGCCACAGGAGACCTGAGCCTGAGACTTACGAATGGTTTAATTTTTCCTCCCTCTGAACTTGGCACTAATGGAAATAAGGCTGTTTCTTTCTTTAACCCATCAGTTCTCTTTCATTCCCACTCCATTCTGTAAACACACAACCATCTGTCCAGGGTTGCAGATGCACAGACCCACAGCCAGGGGACAGACTGCAGTCTGTCTGGGGCTGTATGAGTGTAGAAGTGACTTCTGGTCAGTGCACTTACTTACTCATCCCGTTGAGATAATTCCTGGGGAGCATGGCTCAGCTTTGGTTGAGGCTGCTATTTCCTTATGTGGTTGTCAGTTTGTCCCCACTGCCTAAACATTCTACACCCTTGCCAGCATTTGAAGCTGTTAGTTTTGTGTCAGCCCTGCTGAGAGTAATGGTCTTGCACTATGATTTTACTTTGCATTTTTCAGATGCTTGAATTGGGCACTTTTTTGAGACAGGGTTATGTTGTGTAATTCAGACTGGGCTTAACTATTTAGCCCAGGTTGGGGTCTCAAACTCATGGTGATCCTCCTGCTCAGCCTCTTGAGTGCTGGGATTACCATGCCCAGCTGGGCACTTATGTGTAAGGATCTCATGTATCTTCTTTGTGAAGATTGAGTCTATTCCAATTTCTATTGATTGCTTTCATTGGTAAGTAAGATCTCTTTATATATCCTGGACACTAGACTGGTCCTTTGATGGGTATCTTCTCATGAATGAATTTTACTTTATGGGGCTTTAGCACCATAGCTAGAAACCCCACAGCCCATGTTGCAAATAGTAGATACTGTAATTTTAAAGTAAATGGAATGAAAACAAGACCATGTTACATTCAAGCTAGTGTGCTTGGCAGCTGGGCAGCAGCCTGATTCCTACTGAAAGGAGGAATTATCCATTGAGAGGAGATAAGCATTTCTGGGAACCTGCCCCTTGATGCAATCTAAAGACTGAAGAGAGGAAACAAATAGCTCCTTATCTTCCACTTGCATTCATTGTCACCCAGGGGACCTAGCTCTCACAGAGGAGATAATTGACATCCTATAAATATGCCAAGTGCCAGCCCTTGTGAGTCTTACACTTTGGAAACACATTATGGGGTGTAGGTACAGGAAGGGATTGGCATAATGGGACTGACAATAAGAACAGCTGCCTAAGTGGCAGAGTGGACGAGAGAATGGATGTGGAGAACACAGGTAAGGAACCCTGGAGGTCACAGTTCTGAACTGGGAGATCTCGGCCCCAGTGGCCAGCGTAGGATATAAGAAGTAGAATCTGGCACCATGGTGAGTGGTTGATGGATGAAGAGATGGCCCTCTGGGGTGACTAGGGTTTCTAAATTGGGAGGTAGAGGAGAGGTAGCAAAGGCAGGATGGGAGAATGGAGGAGAGGAGGAGATCACTTGGGATGTGCTGACTTAGAAGTGCTCAGGGACCACTGAGGCAGAGTCATTAGCTCATTCATTTCGCAAGTACCAACCGAGTGTATGCAGGTGAAGGGCCAGCAGTCCCCAGGCAGGGAGGCAGGGTCCCTGTCCCTGTTCTCTGGAAGCTCATGGAAAGGACACAGACTTCTGAAAAAGAAGCAGCAGTGAGTGAGAGCTTGGGTTGGGCGTGTGGGACAGCAGCTGAAGAAAGCTACTTGGGGGTGAGCCTGCCCAGGGAGGGAATATGCACTGTGCCAGTGTCTAGGGCAGCAGGGAAGGTACCCTGCACAGAAAGCCACCAGGGAGTGATGGAAGGAAGTGATACAGGCCACAGGAAGTGGGTTTAAAAGATAGGACATTGACACATTCATCCATTCAGTCACACAGCCCTTTTCTTTTTGGGGCCCTGGGCAGTCAGAGATGGGTAAGAAATTTGGGGGAGGCAGTGACGTGGAGCCTGCAAGGTGGGAGTGCCAAGGGCCTCACCTCTGCTGATCCAGCTGGCGTGTTTTGTGTAGAGCCAGTGTGGAGAGAGAGACAAGGAGGAGTTTGCTGACTGGGGACTTAGCAAGGGTGTGCAGGCAGAGCCCAGCAGTGTGCAGGACACAGAGGCACACAGGACAGATGGTGCAAAGCTGGGTCTGAGCAGAAAGTCCTAGGGTATGGGCAAGTGCTAAAAAGCAGAGGGGCCACCAAGTGTGCTGCTACAGTGGGAGGGAGAGGATGGGTGCGGAGGGTGAGGCCTGTGCTCTGGGTCTTAGAAGAAGCAAGGGGACTGGAGGGCAGCCATGTGGTTGCAGGAGGGGCAGGCAGAGTTGTCAAGCCTGAGCTCAGAGCCCCCTCTGCGGATGCCCATATGATGGAGGGCCTCCCTCTGCCTGACCCCAGAGCCCCCTGCCAGACAGGCCTTCTCTGTCCCCTCCTGGACCAAACATCACCAGCCCCAGTCACTAATTTGGAGCTAGGCTGAAACCTGTGGGCTGGGGTCCAGTGAGGGACAAGACTTCAGAAGGCCTACAGAACTGGCCTTGGGCAAAGCCTCTGGTGCCCCCTGCTGGCAGCTCTGCCTCAGCGCCCAGGTGCTCTGCAGCAGACACCCTTCTGCCTGGCCACCTGGACCAGCTCCAGGTTGCAGAGCAGTGTATGGGATCCCTAGGGAGGAGGTCTGGCTCTTGATGGCTGAGTGTCCTGCTTCATCCTTCAGTGGCAGCTGGGAGAGACTCCAAAGCCCACCACACGCCACATCCAAGGCAGGTTGTGAACTAGGGACAAGAAGGGCATCATGCTGAGCTTAAGAGGCTGGTCTGGAAAGGTTGTTTGCTGCATTAATGCATCTATGGGACATTCTCCAAAGAAACATCAGACACATAGAGAGAGCTCCAAGGCGAGATGAGGATACATAGCAGAAGGAATCCTCTTTCTTCATGGTGGCTCATACACGCTAGACACAGCTGTCTAACACCAACAGTGCTGTTACAGGTGGGCCTAGCTGGTGGATAGGGTCACGAGGACTTTGTAGGCCATCTCACTCAGTGCTTCTCTGCATTCTGCTTGCCAGCTGTCAAGAGTTAAGCAGCACTGCTCTCCCATACGGCCCTGCCATGATGCCCCACCTCAGAGCCAGCCTACTGTGGACCGAAACCTCAGAACCCATGAGCCACATTAAACTTCTCCTCCTTTGATTTGTGGCACAGGTATTACATCCCATGAGGATAAGCGGACTAGCCCACATGCTTTGGAAGAGACATCTGGGTCCTGGGAGCAGCCACCCCAACAAGGTCTCGGAGCACCTGTGCTTCTTCTTATAACATGGACGGCTACACCATCAGCTGCTGAACCTTGCCTGCTTCTGTCCTCTGGTCAGAAGAAAGGGGCTCCCTGCCACAGTCTCCTACTTCAGGGGCTCCAGGCTGCCCTCTAGTTATGGCTCTCTATGTAGGGTGAGCCATCAGAAGGTCTCCTGTAGGCTGGATGTTTCCTTTAGACCAGGCTTCCAATACAGGGGCCCAGCATGCCCTGGCTTAATGGCTCAAACCTACTCCAGGTGTCACCAGTGGGCTGCAGCACCCTATCAGCACAGAGCCTGTTCTTTGCTCTGTGGTGGCAAGAGAGAAGGGTAGGATGAGGGCCTGGCTTCTCACCCCACCATGTTCTCAGGGACCTTGGAAGAATTACAGATGTTTAAACTAGAATCTGGTCTTCCGAATCATCATCAAAACACCCTTGCTGAAGTAGAAGAATAAAACATATTTTATTTCAATTATTAGCTTGATTTACAACTTTTAAATACTTAGATGTATGAAAAGAGATCCCTACTGGTACTTCTACCTGGACCCTGGTTCTACAGGGCCAACAAGTATGTTCCTGGCACACAAGAACACAATACCTACTTTGAGAGACACAGGGATAACAGGGGCAGGATGCCTGGCCTGGTGTGGATGCTCAATACAAACGAGCTATTATTGTCCCCTGAGCCATGAGCAGGGAGGTGGGGCCACAAGATCCACAGCCTGAGGTGGTTTGTGCATGAGAAGGGACAGGTCGGGCCTCCTGACCCAGGTGCACTCCTTCTTCTCTGAGGCTGGGTGCCCTAGACCTCTCCCAAGGGCAAGGGGAGTCCCAGTAGGTATCTTGGCAGCTGGGGCCAGAGAAGGTGCTACTCCCTCCAGAAGAGCAGGCTGGCTGCTCTCTGGCCCCTGCTGGGAAGGGCCGCAGAGAGGCTGGGTCCCCTGGCGAGGGCTGTGCGCTGGTGAGGGAGGGGCCTTGCAAGCAGGTTTTCATCCTGTATCAGGGCTCTGTGTGGATAAGGCCCCCTTTATGGCAGGGGCAGGGGACAAGGGCAAGAAAAACCCTTGCCCAGCACAGTGCGGATGGGATCCTGATGTGGATCAGCAGACAGGAAGGCCAGATCTTTGGTTGGGGCAAGGAGGCTTAGACTGGAGGTCACATGGTCCTGTCAAGATCTGTCTGTTTCTGCGTGGTCGCCTACACAGGCACCTGCCCGAAGGAGCCAGAAAACCCCTCATAAAGTCTCCCTCCCAGAACAGAAGCCCCCCATCCTGGCACCCAACCAGAGCACCTGGCCTAGGTCAGGACAAAAAAAGACCTATTTCAGGTCGCTGTACCATCGGCACTGAGGATGGGTGCCAGTCGGTTAGTGTGGTGGGAAGATGTCTGTGCACTGCTGCAGGATGAACTCTACCACCTGGTTCTGGAGCACCATAGTCATGGGAATGCTGGCCTCTGTCTCTGGCCGCAGCAGCGTAGGCCCGAACACAATGGCCATGCTCTGCACTGACATGCGGTTCTGCTCTCCGTGCTCCACCACCCTGAGAGGGAAGGACAATCAGGCTTGGGGTCGGGGTCATGGGGACCCCAGCTTGGGTGCAGAGTCACCATGCTCACCGGTGCAGGTGCTGGAACAGCAGCTGCAGGGTGTCATGGTTTGGGGTGGGCAGTGAGCACACCAGGTCTCGAATGCAGCGGGCACGCTTGGCCGGGTCCTGCAGTTCTGTGGGGAGATGGGAGTTGGCACAGCACACCAGGGCACCCAACCCTCCCCCCCACTAGGCCCTCTGGGCTCTGGCTCACTGATGGCTGCGAGGAAGAGGGGGAAGTGCGAGAAGGGGAAGAGTGGCTCAGGCAGCTCACGCAGGAAGAGCTTGAGCGCACCAGTGAGCACATGGACATCATCCCAGCGTCCGTCGTCCAGGTCTAGGCGCTCGTCTGCGGGAGGGGGGAGTGTCAGGGAGGGGCAGCAGGTCAGAAGGGACAGAGGATCAGGGGCCCCAGAGTGGGGGTGTTACCGTGGTCCACGTGGTAGCGCAGTTTCTGGATGGTGGCCAGGTTCCCACTGATGCGGTACAGGCCGTCAGTGTCTAGCCCTGTGGAAACCGAGGCGCTGATGCACCTTTCCAAGCCCCAGACCCAGCACCCCCAACCTCCCAGTCCCAGTATTGAGAGCCGCGCATACCCCGGGCCTCCACAGCGCGCACGCATTGCTGCACGAAGCGTGGTACTGAGCTCTTCTCTCTCGCGCAAAGGGTGGCCAGCGAACAGCCGAAGACCTGGTCTAGGGACAGGGTGTCAGTGCCGAGCAAAAACCTCTCCCTAGTCCCCCTCTTCCAGAACCCCGGGCCCCTCACTGAAGCCCCCTCCTCGAACCCCCCTCCCCGTGGTACCCCTGATGTAGCCACGCTCGCGTAGTGACTGCAGCGTAGGCCGCCTCTGCAAGAACCTCCGCAGCTTGTGCCGCACCCGGCTCAGGTCACTCTCCAGGGTCCCAGGGCTTGGGGCAGGCGCGGCTGCGGCGGGACACGAGCATCAGCAGGCTGTTAGGTCCCAGCCCGGGTCCTCTCCCCACCCCTCCACCGGGCGCACCTGCGCAGTCCTCCTTCTCGCTGGACTGGAAGTCTGTGCTGTTGGCTTCACTGTCCTCCTCCAGGGCTGGATCTGCGGACTGGAACTGAAGTCTGAGCAGGGCAGGGTCCAGAAGCCCCTGGCAGGCCTCAGTGGAGATTCTGAGGCAGAACCCCCTATCCAGCCCCCCATCAGGATGTTGCCTCTTTTGGCCATGGGAACCCTTAGGCACCCTTACCTTCCCATCTTGCACCCCTCACCCCGCAGCCTCTCTACCCACATCTTCCTCAGCACCTGCACACCCTCCTCCAGATCAGTTTCCAGCCATCAAATACTTTTTCCAGCAGAAGCCAGCACACTATCAATAGCTGCACTACCACCACCTCCTGCATCTGAGCTCCTGCTTCTATCACTGCAGTCCACAGATGCACTCATGGCCAGGTGAAGAGCCGTGAGAGGGGTCCCCCCATCTCTACTTATGTTATTAGTATTTTGGAACCTGAAAATGGTACACTTGAATTCAGTCTTTTATCTTCTTGTTTCAGCCTGTTGGTCTGGTGTGCACCTGGCTCTAAGTATACCACCTATATTCTTCCTTCTTCCTTTGAAATTGAAAATGCCCCTCATGCCCGTCCCTTCCTGCAGAGCCCTCCAGAGAGGCCATCCTTGGGTGCCAGGGTTCACTGTGCAGGGCAGAGTGCCTCCCCACAAGCCAGGAGACTGGGGCTCTGCCTACCCGTTCCTGGATGCCCTGCAGGATAGCCTTGTGCCAGGCGCTGATGACATCCTCTGAGTCGTGCTGAATCAGGTACTCAGAGCCATCTCGGCTCCGCAGCTGGAGGAACACAAATCACTGGGTCACAGAGGAACCAGGCCAGGGTGGACGGGGCTCAGAGGTGGAGATGACCTGTCCCTGCCCTGTAAGGGCGGAGCCTGGCAAGCAAAGGCCTGGCCCAGGGTCAGCAGGGGTCTAGAATAGCCTAGTGGGTGGGGAGGTCTGTAGACTGCACCTCCTCTGAGGAAAGCGAGACCTTGTGTGCAATGGAGACTCTGAGTTGTCCTGGCTTTTCCAGCCTGTGCCCCCACACTGCCCTACACTCCAGCCCATCCATCATTCAGCATCTGTCAGCCAGAACATGGAGGAAACCTGGCATGTGTGCATAGCCTACTGACTTGGACAGCCCCACCCCCAGTCTGTGCCTGTGACCCAGAGGGGCTAAAAGTCTTCTAAAACAATATCCATCATGTCTTGCAGCTTGCTCAGAACATAACCAGCTCATGTCTGTGAGTCTCCCATGCCCTCACAGGCTTCCGACATAAAATCATCCCTTGCTCATTTTCTTCCACAAGGAACTCCTGGGCCACTGATTCCAATACTAGTCTTGATCGAAACAATTATTCAGCCAATCACCCTAGCAGTCTGTTTAACCACAAACATTACTGCTGGGCACCTGCTTATACATTTAATTGGAGGAGCTACACTAGCCTTAACTACTATCAGCATCCCTACAGTTCTAATTACATTCGTTATCTTATTCTTATTGACAATACTAGAAATTGCCGTGGCAATAATTCAAGCCTATGTATTTACGATACTAGTAAGTCTTTACCTACATAACAACTCTTAATGACCCACCAAACACATGCTTACCATATAGTAAACCCCAGCCCATGACCACTCACAGGGGCCTTATCTGCCCTTCCACTAACTTCAGGTATAATCATATGATTTCACTTCAACTCAAAAACACTATTAACGCTAAGTTTTTTAGCCAATGCTCTCATTATATATCAATGATGACGAGACATCGTATGAGAAGGGCCATATCAAGGACATCATACAACAGCTGTACAAAGAGGATTAAGATATGGAATGGTCTTACTGATTATTTCTGAAGTATTTTTCTTCTTGGGCTTTTTCTGAGCATTTTATCACTCTAGCCTAGCCCCAACCCCAGAACCAGGAGGATTTTGACCACCCGCAGGTATCAACCCATTAAACCCTATAGAAGTCCCTCTTTTAAATACATCAGTTCTCCTAGCATCGGGTGTATCAATTACCTTGATCCCACCACAACCTTATAGAAGGGAACTGAAAACAAATCATTCAAGCCTTGGCCATTACAATTGCCCTAGGTATTTATTTTACCCTACTACAAGCCTCAGAGTATTATGAAGCCTCGTTTTCTATTTCTGACGGAATTTATGGCTCAACCTTTTTTGTTGCAACAGGGTTTCACAGCCTACATGTAATCATTCCTTTTAGTATGTCTTTTCCGCCAACTACTCTACCACTTTACAGATAGACACCATTTTGGCTTTGAAGCAGCTGCTTGATATTGACACTTCGTGGACGTAGTATGACCGTTCCTCTACGTCTCCATTTACTGATGAGGCTCATACTTTCTTAGTATAAACAGTATTGCCGACTTCCAATCAGCAGGCCCCAGATACACCTGGGAGAAAGTAATTAACATCATAATTTCTCTACTAACCAACTGCTTCTTAACCCTCCTATTAATCACGATTGCATTCTGACTACCTCAAATAAACACTTATACAGAAAAAACTAGTCCATACGAATGTGGGTTTGACCCCACAGAATCTGCATGCCTACCATGCTCAATGAAATTTTTCCTTATCGTCATTACCTTTTTGCTGTTCGACCTAGAAATTGCCTTACTATTGCCACTTCCACGAGCATCTCAAATCAACAATCTTAACCTCATACTATTAATTGTACTTATACTTATTTTAATCTTAACACTAGGCCTAGCTTATGAATAAACTCAAAAAGGCCTAGAATGAACTGAATATGGTAATTAGTTTAATCCAAAAACAAATGATTTCGACTCATGAGATTACGCTTAACACGTAATTACCAAGATGTCATCAATCCACTTCAATTTAATTATAGCCTTTGCCATCTCATTTTAGGTACAATACGCTACTGATCCCACATAATGTCAACATTATTATGCCTAGAAGGCATAATATTCTCAACATTTATCTTTGGCTCTCTTGTCATACTCAACTCCCACTACCTACTATCATTCGCAATTTCGATTATCATATTAGTGTTTGCTGCCTGCGAGGCAGCTGTGGGCCTAGCATTATTAGTTATAATCTCCAACACCTATGGGACTGATTATGTACAAAACTTAAATTTACTACAATGCTAAAAATTATTATACCTACAATTATACTTATTCCAACCATCTGATTATCTAATAAACCAATAATATGGATTAACACAACATCACATAGCCTACTAATTGCATTAATTACCCTAACAACTATTAACAAACTTGACACCACTGGACAAAATTACTCTACAAACTTTTCATCCGATTCATTTTCCTCCCCTCTCCTCATTCTAATGACATGACTCCTACCGCTAATAATTATTGCCAGCCAACATCACCTAAACAATGAAACAGAGACACGCAAAAAATGTATATAACCCTTATAGTTCTCCTTCAAATTTCCTTAATCATAACTTTCTCTGTTACAGAGATAATAATATTTTATATTTTATTTGAAACAACCCTAATTCCTACCCTAATCATCATTACCCGATGAGGGAAATCAAGCAGAGCACATGAAAGCAGGCCTGTATTTCCTATTTTGTACACTAATTGGGTCTCTCCCCTTATTAATTGCTTTAGTATACTTACAAAACTTACTAGGGACTATAAACTTCATAGCATACTCATCAATTGCCCATATAGGATGAATAGCAGCTATTTTAATCTATAATCCATCAATTATACTAATAAATTATATCATTTATATTTTTCTCACAGCCTCCATATTTTCTATGTTTATTATATATAACAGCATAACTACATCTTCTCTAAGCCACACTTGAAATATTTCCCCACTGTTAACCACAATAATAATAATTACTCTCCCATCATTAGGAGGCCTTCCACCTCTAACTGGGTTCGCTCCTAAATGATTAATTATTCAAGAAATAGTAAAAAATAGTAACATCATTCTCCCCACTGCAATAACCATCAGAGCCCTACTCAACCTATATTTCTATATACGACTAATATATTCAACATCACTAACCCTATTTCCTTCAAAAAACAATACAAAAATAAAATGACATTATCAGTACATGAAACACAATTTCCTACTCCCCACAATCTTAATTATCTCCACCCTTTTAAATGTGTGCTTGTGAGGGACCCCACAAAGCAACTGTGATCTGCAAGGACATCCTGGGCCCCAAAATGCCACACAGACCCTGTGCTAGAGCCTTTGAGGTTCTTTCTGCAGGAAAACCCTGCAGTCGCCTACAGGTCGCCCTGAGCAGAGGGAAGAAGGCTGTCATTGGCAGGGAGGCAGACTTGAGTTTCCTTCAGGACTGGCACCCTTCCTGGCTCACACAGCTTCTAAAGGCACTGTTGCCTTCAGACCTTGTCAAAAAGACAACTGGCTGAGTGTGGAGGCTGAGGCAGGAGGACTGACATGAGTTTAAAGCCACTTGGGCTACATAGTGAGTTCATGACCAGCATGAACTATATAGTGAGACCCTGTCTCAGAAAACTACCAACCCCCAAAACAAAGATGACAACTAGGCCAGGCTTTCTCAGAAGCTTCATCAGCAGCCCAATCAAAAGTGGCATGATAGGCAACACTTTGAAGGATGCCCCAGTCTAGGAAGGACCAAGGCTCACAAATATGAGGTCCTGGCTCAATATGACACCATGGCAGACATGAGTCCTTGATGGAAACTGCCCTGCCAAGTTTTGAGAAGACTCCAGATGATGGATCAGAGTAGCTCATCTCTAAAACTGGGTTTCCAATGCTGCTCTGAACACCGTGGCTCTGGAACTGGATGAAGCTCAGCGAATCACTGTAAACACTCCACTAGCGCTCTTTGAAGAACTGGTTTTTCTGGGCTGAGATCTGAGGTCAGGTTTGCTCCTATCATAATAAGCTACCTGGAAAGCACAGGATCCCTATGACCCAACAGGGTGGTCTGCAACAGGGTACTGGCCTCATCCTCTAGGCCCCATGTTCACCAAGCTACATGCTAGGAATTTCTTTAAGAAGAAACTGTGATTTTCTGAAGAGCTGGCCCTAAAATTAGCTGTGTCACTGACAGACCATCTCAGCTTCTGGAGACACAAGCTAAACTTTTCAGCAGCTGCCTGAGCACCTGCTCATCACCTGCCCCCAGTCCTTCTCCACTTGACTTCCACCTCTAACATGTTTTGCCTGGTCCTAGGTTCTTAAGGGATTTCGCCAATTTGCCTTGTATAGGTATTTATTTTTGAGATAGTTTTTATATGCAATTCAGGCTGAACTTGGACTCACTATGTAGATGAGACTGGCCTTGCACTCACAGCAATCTTCCCCTTGCTACCTCCTGAGTGCCAGGATTACACGCATTTGCCGTTGCACTCAGCTAACACCTGTGTTTTTGTTGAAATTTGCTGCACAGCTTTCAGAGACCAAGGTGTGGATAGAGCAGTTTGAAAAGGAGACCAAAGGAAAAAGGGAACAGGGCACTGTGAGGCTATCCCCCGGGTTTTCCTGTTCTTCATGCTGGGGACACCCAAAAGTTTGTTCCTGCCCTGGTTTCTTTACTGGGGACCCAGTAAAGAACCTGACTCTCGTAGGGGAGAGCAGGTGCCCCTGCCCAGTTGCCAGAAGGTAGCAATTCTAGGCATGACTGCTTCCTCTTCCAGAAATCCTTGCTTCTCACCAACCTCAGCTCCTTCAGGGGGAGTATGGGGCCCAGATGGCAGAAACACTGCCCCAGGATGAGCAGCTTTGGCCTTGCACCCCATCCCCCCAGCTTCTCTTTCTTGGTACTATGGAGAAGGCACCTCTTCCCTGCCCACTGCTCACCTCTAGCACATTCTTCTTGCTGGATTTGTCCTTGGGAGCCCAGGAAAGAGAGGCCCCTTTCAGCTCCACTGTGTACTCTGGTGTGGAGAGCTTGCAAGGCTGCTGCCTCTGGCAGAGAGGAGGAGTGGCACAGGGTTAGGGGATCCTCAACTCATAGGGGCCTGCCACAGCACCTGTCTCTGACCCATGGCTTCTTGGTTCTCGGAACAGACCGGGGATCCCAGAGGAGTCAGACAACAGCTTTGGGTTCCTGGGCCCTAGATGTACTGGTGCTTCTTAGTCAGAAGCCTGTTGGCTGGCTTGTCCATTTCTCTCCACCCAGCAGGGTGCCAGGCTGGGCCTCCTTCTTCCACCTGCAAGGACTGCCCCACCCCAAGGTGACTGGGACTGTTTGTCCTGTGTGGATCTACTGCCAACACTCCTCTCTGCTGAGCCCAGCTGCACTGCTTCGAGGGTACAGCTGTCTCAGCCCAGGTTAGGTGGGGAGGTTCTGGCAAGGGCCCTAGCTCACCAGGCCGCCTGCAGCTGAGGTCTTGGAGTCCTTGAAGAAGGTCAGGACACTGCCCTCCAGGACCGACCAGGAAGTGCTCCAGTGCTTCTTCCTGGAGGCAGGCAGGGCTCAGATTTGCTCCCAGCAGAGGATGCACTGTGACCCCCAGGGTAAGGGCATCCTTTCCACCAGAGGCAAGGCATGATCTCTCAGTGCTCCTAGGACTTCATGAGAGATCCCTGAGGACAGGCCCACACTGCCCCTCTGGGTGAGCTCTCACCGGAGCCGCTTCCCCTTGTCTGCTGTCCGGGTGCAATGCAGTACCCCTGCCTTGTCCAGGGTCTTCATCTAGACAGAAAGGAAAGTGGGGCTCCGGGATGAGCCATGGCAGAGGCTGGCCCTCTCCATGGCAGCTCCTTGTGGGCTGAAAGAGTCTCCTCCTTATTGGCCACCTACCCGGCAGCTGTGGTGGGACGTGCTTCTCCTCCCAGCCCTCCCCCTGGGCTTAGTGCTGTCACAGAAAAAGGCAAGATGGCCCACTCTGTCTCCACCCCCAGCTCTCCAGAACTCTATTTCTCCAGTGATGTTCACCAGGGCCTGCTTGCCCATATTCACCTTTTCCTCTGGGGGGCTGGCCAGGGCTGGGGTGCTGCCATCCCGACTGGTTTTGCGGATGCTTCGAGGGGCAGGGATGGGGACCTGGGGAGAAGGGCACTGTCATGTAGGATCCCTTCCATTACCCAGGCTATCCCTCCCAGGCTGTTTACCTGGGGCAGCTCCCACCGCACAGAAGAGTCCTGTGGCTTGTAGAAGTAGACCTTGCCATGCTGGTCCTCCAGCTGCACCCACTGGGTCGAGGGGACAGGGACAGTCAGAGCCCAGCCCTGAGCATGGGAGAAGGTCCCACCAGCAGATCCAGGACAGCGTCAGGTTTGGGGGCTCCCGGGAGCACCCCACCAGCCTCTGTCTCACCTGTTCTCCCGTGAAGTGGTTGGTGTAGAAGGTCTGCTGGTCCGGGCCTAGATGACAAGACCAGCCAGGGGGCGGGGACAACGGGGACGTGGGGCTGGGCTCCCCACAGGAGATCGCGGAGGGATAGTCTTCCTCAGGATAACTGGACAGCGGCTCTGGGTAGTCAGCCTCCGGGGTGGGAGGCTACAGGGAGCAGAGGTTCTTAGCGCCGGTACTGCCCCAGCCCTTACCCTTCCACAGCCAGTGGGCCTCAGTGGAGGCCGCAGGGTCACCAGCTCCACTCTTGCCCCACTGGTCCTGCCCCTCACCTCAGGCCCGGGCCTTGGACTCTGCCTCTCCCTGGCCGGAGGACTCCACTTTCGCCTTTCGCCCTGCCCCTGAGGTCCACCCCCATTCGTCTTGGCCCAATCCGCTCTGCCCGACTCCTGCCCCTATCCCCACCCACACGGCTCCGCCCCAGACTCCTGCCCCTATCCCCACCCACACGGCTCCGCCCCAGACTCCCGCCCTGTCTCCGCCCACCAGGCTCCGCCCCAGACTCCCGCCCTGTCCCCGCCCACCAGGCTCCGCCCCAGACTCCCGCCTGTCTCCGCCCACCAGGCTCCGCCCCGGACTCCCGCCCTGTCTCCGCCCACCAGGCTCCGCCCCAGACTCCCGGCCTGTCTCCGCCCACCAGGCTCCTCCCACTCACCCGCCGACCTGCGGGGCAGACTGGGCTCTGTGCTGGACGCATGTCCCCTAGCGCGTCTTCGTTCTCGTCCCTGGGCACGTCCTCCCAGGCCGTCTCGCCCGTCAGCGGGTTGTAGAAGAATACCCTGCGGCTATCCTCATCCCAGTACTGGTCCCACTCGCTCTCCAGGCTCTCGCGACTGCCGGCCGAGGTCGGGGAAGCGGCCGGGCTGGCCTCGCCGGGCGGCTCCCACGTGGTGGCGCCCGTGTCGCGGTTATAATAGTAGCGGCGCCCGCTGCCCGCGTCCGTGTGCTCTTCCCACGCCTCCCACGCGGGGTCGGGCCGAGGGGCGGCGGACGCGCGTGGCGACCGGGCCAGAGGTCTCCCCACGTTTACGTACACGGGGTCGGCGGGCGCGTCCACCTGTGGACAGCGATAGGGACACGTACATGTCAGGGGCCACCGGCCGGTACAGCCACCCTCACCTCCCGGTCCGGCCTCCTGGGGTCAGTGGCCCTTCTCCCCACGCCCGGAATGCAATGGAGGAGAGGGAGGAAATGTTCCTGCTAGTGATGGGCCATGCCGCTGATTACCCATTAACCAGTGACCGGTCCTCACGACTGAGAGGGTGGGCAGAACCCACTCGTCCCTGCTGCACCGAGCTCATTCCAGGGGAGCCCTGGGGACCGAACCCTTCAGGGTGCAGCTGGCACTTTCCACTGTGGGATTCACAGGTGTTGGCATCAACAGCTGGGCGAGTGGAAGTGGAAGGAGGAAGAAGGCATTTGGGGGTCCCTGTGATCCCAAATCCACACCCGTGTCTGATTCACACGTCCTGGCTCCCCGCTGGTTGCAAGGCAGAGTCCAGTCCCGGCCTTGTTCCTGCCACTCCCAGTGCCCTGCCCCTCTCGGTGAACTTTAAGCTCCAGCTGTTAAAGCTGCTGCAAGCCCCAACCGCCTTCCTCCCCCCACACTCAGCTCCACCCTTCCCATCTGCTTGGCGCCTCTTTCTCAGTACTCAGTTCAGGCACAGCTTCCAGGTCTTTGCAGAGACTCCAGTGCTCACCCCATCAAGCCCATTGCCTCCCACAGATAACCTGTGATTAAACCCGTAAACAACATGAGGCGATCCATACGGTTTCCTATGAACACATAATGCCAAATACAAATGCAGGTTCCAGCAAAGGAAGAACATCGACTGTCCAATTCTGTGCAATTGGAAATCATTCAAAATGCTCATGGACGTGGGCTGTGTCTGGTGAGTGCGAGGTCATGACTTTGATCCCCAGTATCAACAACAACAACAAAAAAGTGGGCAGTGTGATAAAGGGGTTTGGTTTTTGTTTTTTAAATCAGTACGACCACCTGCTTGCAAGGCAGGTGCTTATGCCACTGAGCTAAATCCCCAGCCCTTTGGGGTTCGGTTTTCTGTGTGTGTGTGTGTGCTAGGATTGAATTTGGAGCACAACAGGTTGCACCCCAGCCTCCAACAGAGGCACCTTCTACCTCCCCCAGTTGTCCCCTCATTCCTCCACCCTTCAAGTCCTGCTCTATTCTGACCTCAGCTTCTCTCAGGGAGGTCTAACCTGCAGGCACTAAAGTCTAACCTGCTGGAGCTGAGCTCAAGACTGTTAGGGCCCCATGCCATTCTGCCTTGGTGGTCAGTTAGTGGGCCAGACTTCTTCCCACCTGCTCATCTCAAAGGCAGAAGTCTTGCTAATAAGATGCAGCAGATCTGCCCAAAACACTGCTTTAAAACACGAGTCAGTCCCCTGTCCAAGGAGCAACACACAAACACACACCCCTGACACTCCAGGAGAGCTCTGAGCAGGAACTTCTGAGAATGATGGTCTGAGCCACAGAACCCAGTAAAATGCTGGGAAGACAGATGGAGGCTGGGAAGAGGAGGGTGAAAAGCTGCCCATTACTCTTAGCCCCCTGCCAGCTGGACTGTCCTGTTCAGAGGTTTGCAGGGTAGGGGAACGGGGATTTTGCTTAGTAACTCCCTGGGCTGGGCTGTACACAGGTATCACAATAGGTACAAAGATGATTTTGGAGGGAGAAGCTTGGGTCCCCAGTATGACTGAGCTGTCACTGGGGAGAGGGGTGCAGCATCACATGGGGTAGGGGCCAGAGCATAGCCCCCAAGAGATACACACTAAGGCCCGGATGGGGAAGAGCAAGGACCTCACTAGCGCCCAGAAGCAGGGTGCACACCCTTCCTTCAGAGAGACTGTGGCAGAGGGGCCCCTGTCCCAAGACCCAGGCCCAGCCAGCCCATCAACAGGCTTCTGACAAGTTCCCAGTCCAAGCCTCAGACCCAGGGCAGAGCTTGAAAGAGGAAGTGTCTCCCCTTAGACCTGAGGATCAACAGGCTGAAGAGGGACTCTGGCCGTACAGCGCTATGGGCCCCATACTTCCTGACAGCCGTGTTTTGCTGATCCTCAAACCCCCTGGCTGGAGCTTCGAACCTTGTCATCCCCACCCTCGCTCAGACAGCAGAGCCTCCGAGGAGGAAAAAGGCAGAAGAGAAGAGCCCCACTTGCCATCTCCTCAAAGGGTGAGACCCCTAGGCCCCTGGACCCAAGCCTCCCTCCCTACCTGAACCCGCAGGGCTTTGCTCTGCCTCCTGGTCAGTTTAGCAATCACGTCCACCATCCTGTCCCCTGTGAGCTGCTGGGCTGGGCCCTGGGAAAGTTCTAGGGGTGGAGCCAAGGGGCACAACCCTAGGCCTGGCACAGGGCAACAAGGAAACAAGAAGTTGCCTGAGATGGCGGAGGTTGAGACTGCAGCATTTCCTGTCAGAGCTGAGGAAGTGCTGTGGAGACAGTCTGAAACTGCGGTGAGGCCACCGTTTTCTGTGCTTCCCCACCCCAGCTGCCACACAAGGTCCCAGTCCCAGGCCTAGATATGCATGGTGTAGCCTGCACACTGAGGGTGCATCTAAACCCAGGGTAGTGAGGGTGCCACCCAGACAGGATGGCCAGAAGGGACTGGGCTTGGCTGGCTTGGGCCACAAGCAAGACAGGAGGGGCTCCAACTCCGTAGGCCCAGGGAGGATGGCAGGGAAAGAGGAAGCTTGTGGGGAGTCATGTTCCCAAAGAGGCAGGGGTCTGGGCAGACAAGGTGGAGAACTGCACCTGTCTCTGTAGCCTTGTGGGCCAGAGGGCTCTGGCTGTACCACTGTCTGGCGCCCAACTGCCAGTTGGTCTGTGTCCTGTAGCCCTGGTCACCAGGACCCAACTGTGCCTGTGCCCACACACATCCCCATCTACATTCACAGCCACTCCCAATCCCCATGAAATCAGCAGAGAGGTGGGTGCCAGGTTCTCCCTCTGCCTCTTGTTCCTCCAAGTCCTGGGGATGGTCGTATCTGCCCCTCTCAGGGTACCCCCACCTCAGCCCTAAGGGCCACCTGGTTTCCTCTCTTTTCTCCTCCTCAACTATGGCCTCTGTTGTGCCTCTTCAGGCTCAGGATAGCAACACAGTAAAGCCAAGCATGGGCAAGTTTGGGGCATGGGGTGCTTGGGAAGGGTACAGTTTACTGCAGCCTCTGCTGTTCTCTGCCTGGCCCAGTCCCCCAAGTTTCCCTTGGGAACCCAGACCCAGGGCAGGCCCAGGGTACAGCAACCCCTGTGGCTCCCCCCACCCCCTGCCAGGGAGGTGGCAACCACAGTAGCAACCAGCATCATGGTTTCCCTCCTCTGAGGACAGGAGGGATACCCCACCCCACCCAGCCCCTCCACCCACTTCCCTCTCCCAAATCTCCAGGAATGGCTGGGCAGGCGCAGAGGAATTAGAAATCTTGCTTTCCAGGATGAATGGCTAAAGAGGCCCAGAAACTGGCTTGGGCATGAACCCTCCTTCACATACCCACAGAGGCTGCTTTGTGCCACCAGGACCTCCATGGCTTCACCTTCTCCACTTGCACATGGATGCGGACTGGGTCCTGTATCCATCTGCCAGTGCAGAGCCACCTGTCCTTTGATATCCCCCTCAGGTACCTGCTGTAGAGCCCAGGGGAGGCACAGTCAGAGACTCATGACAGGGACATAATGGGTCTGAGGCTCAAGCTTCAGGTGGAAGGAGAACAGAAGAAGCAGGAGCCTGGAGAGGGACCTGGGAGAAGCTGCCTTGGCCTCCCTCTGGGCAATGCCAGAGGCTCCAGACCTCAGTCCTGTAGCTGTGTGATGGGCATCTGCCTTGCCCTAGTTAGCTGCTGAGTTCCCACGCCCCGAGATGGGAGAAAGCAGGGCACACTTCTGCTTTTTCTGACCTCAGATTTTGAAGTCTGGCCTGGCCCAGAGTGATCCTGTGGGGCCTGCTTCTGCAGCTGGCAGATCTAGGCTGTGGCCCCGGTGCTCATACTTACTGCCTGTGCTGTGGGAGAGCTCGGTCTGTGGGTGGTCATCTTCTGTCCCCCAAGCTATCTGCACCTGTACCCACCATTCTCCCCAGGGTAGGGCCCATGGCTCCTTCATGCCCATCTCCCTAGTGCCCAGAGAGCCTCCACTCCTTCCTGATCATCTTAGTCCCAAGCATTGCCAGGGACCTAAGGTCTCTCCATCTGGCTTGCTCCCCTGGCCCTCTGGTGCTTCCTCATCCCCATCTCTGTGGGCCGATCCAGCCTGTTTCTACCTTTCCTCAGCAATATGGGCCAGCTCTACACCCTGTCCCTTCCTGGTGTCCAGGAGTAGGCAGTTGGCTGTGTCAACAACCTAGCCCCTGGGTGTCCTCTGTGTCCGCCTCGGAGCTGGTGTCTCCTGACTCAGACACAGCGGCCTGGAGGCATCCCTGAGTCGCTGAACCTGATGACTGGTTCATGGACAGTGCAGACCGAGCGGCTGTGGGACATAGGCCCTGGTCAGCAAAGAAACGCAGCCCAACAGAGGAAGGATGGGGCTGTTCATGAAGGGCTGCAGCATGACTGAGAGCAGCTGAGTCTCTGGCCACACACAGGCAGGCAGTGCTGTAGGGAAGCAGGGAAGTCTGATGGTCCCTAGGTCTTTCGTGACACTCAGGGAATCTGCTGTCAGATGATAATTCGAGTGACACTGGCTGAGGTTCCAGGGATAACACGATGCTATGCAGAATTTACAAATCCTTAGCTCAATAAATAAACAAACAAGGCCAATACAGTTGAATCTAGGTAACAAGCATAATGGTGCTCATTTTTAAAGGTAATCTTTTACTTTTCTGTATGCTCGAAAAATTTCAGAATGAAATATTTTTTAAAAAGAGGGGGCCCTGGAGGTGTGGCTCAGTGGGAGAGCACATGCCTAGTGCACAGAGCCCTGGGCTCCAGACTAGCTCTGCAAATAATAATAATAATAATAATAATAATAATAACCTCTCTCAAACAGTTTACCAGTCGTCACTCAGGTTCCACAGAAGCATACTGCTTTCCTTTGTTCAAGGTGCAG